CCATGTAAATACATATTTATGTGTTTCAAATACAGCTCTTTTCTCTATTTTTTTTTTTTTTTTTTTTTTTTTTTTAAGTTGATTTAGGTGCCCCAAGAAGTCCTTACGGTCTTATCACAGAGCACCGCGGAAGAGCATTTAATAGGAAGTTCACGCCTCCTTCCCAACCGATGTCGTAAAACTTGCTCAGAGGTGGGGTTTGAACCACGGACCTTACGTTTCTGAGGCAAGTGCGCTACCACTGCGCCACGGCTGCACTTTGATTATCTATTATCTTTTTAAGTGTTACTCTAATGTCACCAAGAGATTTTGCTAAACTGAAATGTTTTAATAAAATAAATATTCAAAATAATCGCAACTGAAGCGGTTTATTGATGACAAGACCACAAGGTCTTCTGCAAATTTCCCGCGTTCTTTTATATTTGTTATTTGTCCTAAAATTATTATTTGTACTGAAAAAAGTTCTTATTATATGTACAATATTTTATTTCATACTTTGTAAACGAATCAGTTTATATTTATGATCACGTATTTGTAAAGTTTTAAAAATGAACAAAAAAAAAGTTTTTTTTTAAAAAAAAACTTTTATTTTCACAATACAACTCTGTCGTAAGATGACATAATAATAATAACAGTTTTTGCTGGTAAAAAAGCAGAAAAAAAGAGTTTTCAATATTAATTTCAAAGAACCTGTATTGTTTAATAAAGATTATATCCAGGTTTTCCTAAAAATATGAACAAAAAAAAGTTAACAGTACCTGAAATAAAAACACAATCATTAACTTGTATGTATACGTTTCTTTTTTTTTTTTTTTTTTTTTTTTTTTTCAAACATTTTAGTTTACATTTGTTACTTCGTTTTTACAATATAATGAGAGTAAATAAAAAACTAATACAAATTATAAAGTAAGCAAATACTACTAACATTTGAAAAATAAGGTATCTGAAAGAAGATCAGTAAGATCTTATCGTCAGAATCTTATACTTGTGTAAACAAAATATTAGGTTTTAAAGTAAAAATAAGTACAATAAAATAAAAATAAAATATACATACATATATCACTTCGTAGTATAGATAATAAAGTTTATTAAATATTTCCATAATATAAATATTATTGTCAAATTTTGATAATACGGGAGAGAAAAAGATTTTTCATCTTAACTTTAAAAAGATGCAAAGAAGTAGGTAGATCAAAATAAAATTAGGCAAACCAATTTTGTATCAAAGATAGGGTGCACGATAATCAATGTAAAATTGGTTAAAATTTTTAAAATAAGCATTGCTTATATAAAAACTTTTTTTTAAATAAGTATGTTGATAGAGGCGCCTAAATGCTACTATGCTTTGAGTCTCATAAAACCTTTCGGCAGCCCTTATCAGGCATGTGAATTTTTCCCAGACCTTATAATTTTTATAAGACCCAAGGAAGTATAATTTCTTAAGATATGAATGACTTATAATCATTATACCGCTCACCAAATATTTTTTTTTTTTTTCAGATTATTTAGGTGCTCCCAGAAGTTCTTACGTTCTTATGACGGAGCACCGCGGGAGAGCATTTAACTAGAGGTTAACGCCTCCTTCTTTACCAATGAGCTAGAGCCGGCGTCGAACCTCAGACCTTTAGGTTCTGAGCCAGAACTCTAACCATCGTGCTACGGCTACTCAAATTTAACAGCATAATATCAATATAAAAATATAATATAAAACAATATATGTAATACTGTAAGAATTTTTTCATACATAATTTACTTGGTGTTTTTTTTATTAAAACTTATTGAGAAATGCTATTAAAGGATAGTATTTTGGTGAATACAAAATTGTTAATATATACATTTTTATTGCGCTTTGACGAAATTGTAATTAATAAAAATAGAAATTCAATAAATAACTCATTCAACAAATTAGTTAAACAATGAATGAACAATATTTGTCTACTGTTAAAAAACATACATTCTATTCCTTTGAAAAAACACAAGAGCCGAGAGCCGCTCAATTTTTGCGGCTCCGGCTCCGTTTCCACCAAAACCTAGCGGCTCCGGCTCGGCTCCGCAGGCCTGGTTTTGGGATACTGTTTTGTGTTCTTTAGAAAATTTACTTTTTGTGAGCGTAACGAATTCGGAGAGATTCTTTTCTGTTGGCGCAAATTTTTGGAAAAATATGGCTTAAATAGTCTTAGCTCTGTTGACTCTTATTTCCTCATATTTCAATGAGAAAATCGGGGCCAAACTGATGATGTAATTTGTACGGCTTCAATTTGCTTAACATGAATTGAATCAAAATTAAACAACTCAGACAATATAACATTATTTGTCACCTTATTTTTATAAACATATTTGTCACCTTTATTTAATTTTTCGAACAACTTTCTACAGTTATTAGAAAGCCCTCTCAAAAATCTTTTCATTATTATAATCCAATTTGTTTTTAACAAGTTTGTTTACTCTTTCAATAAAAAATATTGTAAGTTCTCTTTTATATTTCTGTAAACATAGAAAATACAAATTTTGCGACAACCCTCGTGATTTTCGCTTTTGTTTGGAATTTTAAAATGTTATTAATTAAAGTCTTTTATTGAGCAAAGCCTAGTTCTTAACTCTTAGTTTTTAACTAGTTACAAGAAATTTATGATTAATTATGAATTCTTTTTAACTATTTTTAAATTTCTTGTTACTTCCACTTATCCATTTATCAACCCAACTAAATAAGTACTTCCTAAATTGAAGCAATCTACAGACCAATGACTGCAAAAACTTTCTTTTGTAAAATTTATTTTAGCACTTCTTTTTTGATAAAATTGTTTACAAATTTTTATGTTTAAAAATAAAAATTCTCATTTGAAACTTGCTAACTTAAGGTGTTTTTTTTTATAGCAAAATCTTAAAAACTGAATATTTCCCTCGGGCAAAATCAAAAGATTTTGAAACTGTTATGTTCTAATCCACCATATGTAAACAATCATTCTTCCAAAGGGTTTCTCAGGAACCATCGTAAACATTAAAACTTGTTTTTACAGACAGTTTTTTGGTGTTTCAGATAAGACTTTTACGCACTGTGCCAACTCCAAACTTAAGTACATTCATGCCTATGCCAAATGCTTTGTAAAATATTGCAATGATTGAGGTCTGAGAACAAAAATACCCCAACACGTCCCCCCTCCTCCATGCCCAAAAGTGAGAGCAGTAATGTAATAATTTTTTTATCTTTACTATTTTATACTAAATTTAAATTCATCGACAGGTTTTAGTTTTCATTCAAAATTATTTTATATTACAAAAGTAATTTAAAAAAGGCCATGCAAAATTTGAAATTATGCATACTATTGAAATAAAATACTAAAATTAACAAAGTAAAACTAAATTTGATCATTTTATTTATAAAAAATTTAAGCACTAGTGTTATTGAGTCAACAAGTTAACTATATTTGAAAAAAAAGTTTTTGATTTTCAAATGTGCTCTTTTTCTTCAAAATCAGTAAAATTTTAAAATACTATAAATATATTTTAGTCACATAAGGATTGCACACAGCGCGTCACTAAACGATAAAAACAGCTATTAGTGGGGAATATCGTGAAATGTTGATTGAGAAAAATGTGACTTTTAGGTATGAGAACCAATTACAAAAAAAAAAAAAACTTGATTGCACTGCACTGTTCCGATTTGTATTCAACGTAAAGAATTATTGAAAAGAAAATTTAATTTCATAGTTTAATTAAGTTGTTAATTTTTTTTTTATTTTTTATACAAAACATATATCACTTTATATAATAAAACATATATAAAATATATTTATATTATACTTTATAGTAAAAAGTAAAAAAAATAATAATAACATAATTTATTTTCAATAATGCTTTACGTTAAATGCAAATCAGAACAGTTTTTCGGAACGGAGGGTGAAAAGTTTTAAAATCGTGCATAGTTTTAAAACTTCAAATAAGCGAACTCTGAAAGTAATTATAAAATTTAACATTTGAGAGTTCATCTCAATAAATTTGTTTGCTTTAAACAATTTTTGAATTTTGCTTTTTAATTAATTATAAAAATAAGTTATCAAAGTTGTTAGTTAAAAAAAACTTTTTTTAAAACTAACTTTGATTTTTTTCATAATTTTGTTATAAAATAACATTTTATAACCGGTCGGTCAAACATTTAGTCAAACATTTCATTCGATCATAATCATTCAAACCGATTTTAAAATGTTGTTTGACCGAATTCGGTCAAAAAATTAACATTTTAAAATCGGTTCGCTCAAAATAACATAAAATAGCACTTTATAATAAAATTATGAAAACCAGTTTTCATAATTTTTGACGTTAAATTTATGATATTGCAATGTTATTGTGACGTTAATCAGATCTTAAATTTCTAATAAATTTTTTATTGAGATGTTGAATTTGTAATACTGCGAAGTGTTAATAGAAATATATATAGTGACTGAACTTATGAGTATTGAAACTAGCTGTTCTCATTTCAAATAAAATAACGCTTGTTTTAAAGAAAAAAATTGAAAAAACGTTTATTTATGCCTGAGCCATGAATGTTTAAAGTTTATGTGGCTAAACTTCGGCGATTTTACGATATCTATTATTTTCAAGTGGTTTTTTCAGCGGTTCTCGGTTACAAAATTATCAAATCTTCTTCGAATGATTTTATTCAAATTTTTAGTTTAGAATATTCTTGACATTCAAATCTGTTATTTTACTTTTCAATTTTTTTATTTTACTTTTTTTGCTTTTTATTTTCCTTCATAAAATAAGCTATTTTAAATCTATAACATATAAATAATATAAAATTTCATGTTATCAAATAAATAATAAAATATCACCTGAATAAATAAATAAAATTGAATAAATGAATATAATTTATTTATTTATAAACTTATTCATAATTATATTTATATTTTAAACATTTATTTTGTTTAAATAATTTTAATAAATACAAAACTTTGCTATTAAACAATATTTGACTACAAAACTTTTCTAGAATAGCATTTCAATTTTTTAGAGAAAAATTTTCATGAATGCTCAGTTCGAACCAAGTTGTAAAAATTTATACGAATGATCAGTTCAAACCAAGTTGTAAAAATTTTTATGAATGCTCAGTTCAAACCAAGTTGTAAAAGTTTTTAACAACATTATTTAGTTCAAATAAATTTGTAAAAAAATTTTCAACAATCAATTTAAATAAAACAGTTAGACTTAAAAAAGAAAAAACTTTTGTATTATAATCTATCAAGTTTCAGATAATGCCATTGTGTGATGCGATTATCAAAGTGTTTCAACATTTCTTTCCAATGTATTTGTTCTTCACTCTCCGCTTTGCTAGTTTTTCCTATATATAAACGTCCTATAACTCTTTTCGTGACATTGCTTGTTGTTGCGCGAACGCTTAATAATATTCCCATATGATTTTTTAGAGAATCTGGAGTGTTCAGTTCTACTATATACCGATCTGCTCCATTTAAATTATTTAGAGGTGTCGAACTTTTTACAAACTTTGATTGGTAAGAGGGTAACTCTTGGGTCAAATCTAGCTGAGGATTTGGAAAGCTGTCTAGATAATCTGACAAAGCGTTAAATTCAAATGTTTGTTTATTTGTCGAAATATTTCTTGAGGGTGCAAAGCAAGCCGTTTTTTTACTTAACAAAATTTTATTATCCAAGAGTATAGAAACTTTCGCGTATACGTCTAAGAAAAAAAATTTTTTTAATATAATCTAATTTTAATCTAAATCTATTCAACCTTATCACACAAAAATTTAACGTAAAAAAATAAAATCTAAAAAAAGAAAAAGCTTGTAATGAAATGTTTTAAAAAAGTGTTTCAAATTACCTTTATCCTCCTTGGAAATTTGCAAGTTTCTAAGTCTTTGTATATTGACAACAACTTTATCAGTAACACAGTCGTAAGATAGCGAAAGCAAAACTTCGCCGATAAAATAACTGGGCTAGAAAAATGTTATATGTTATTCAAATTAATAATATTTATACCTTTTTTTTCTTCACATTTTTTATATGAGACCATCATTTAGTATAATCAAAATGTTTTTAAAATAAGTTTTTGATCATGCTTGCTATTATCAATTAGTTATGAAAATTTTCTAAAATTCACTTTTAAATGATGACTTAGAAGATTCTGTTTAGTTTTCACAAAACCCGTTTTGAAAATGATAAGTTTGTCAATTTTAAAAAAAGTGTTCTGAAACTATAATAAATAAAATCAGTTAAAATATGCTGAACAATCGTAAAGTAGAAATTACAAGATTTAAAAAATATATTTACATTCATTCTAATTCATAGTATTAGAAATATAACTTTTATAACGACTATAACTTGAACTATAACTTTTAGCAAAATAAATAAACAACTGTAGTAAGTAGATCCAAGTGGATTTTTATTTTTCTTTTTCTCTTTTTGATTTCAGTTATACTACCAAAAGTTTATAAAGCTGCACCAGCAAGAGAAAGTAAATTGAGCAATAAACATATGAACCTTAAACAAAAATATTGTTAACAGTGTGTTTGTAATTTATAACTTTTATAACTTAGATATTTAGATAATAGACAGTGAAATTTAAATAAAGTGTTCTAAAACTATTATGAATGAATTTAGTTAAAATAACTATTAAAATATAAATCAGTTATTTTTCAGATTAAACTTTATGAATGATGTTAAAACTATGCTGAACAATTGTAAAATAGAATATTGGCTTAAACGTTTCAAGCAGAACAGGGTAAATTTAAAAAAATATATTTACATTCATTCTAATTCACAATATTAACAAGCGATTTTTTTTTAAAGCTAATCGGTACATTTTGCGGATGCACCGCTCCCCATCATTTTATTTGTAGAATCGCTTCTCATAACTTTTATAATTACTTTAAATATTTAAATAAAATTATTTTAATATTAAGACAAAAAATTAAAAATAAAAATGTATAGTTTATAAACCATAAATGGTTTACTTAACAAGGTTATTATTTCATGTCTAGTAAGTCACGTGCTTGAAGAGCAGTCACATGTTTGGTATAGATATATATTTAAGTGTCACTTATTTTTTGTGAAATTTGATTTGAATCTTCTTTTTAATTATTCACCTCCCATAGGCCGAGAAGGGCACTACAGTGTACTTTTTTAAAAATTAAGTACACAAAAATATGGCAACTAAAAGCGGTTTCTTGATGAAAAGACCACATGATCCTCTGCATGTTTACGCGTTCTTTAACAGCGTTACTTTTTTATTTGTTTAAAAGTTATAATTTGTACTAAAAAAGTTTTTATTATATATATTTTTTATTTTATACATTGTAAACGAGTCAGTTTATATTTACAATAACGTATATTTATAACTTTGATAAAAGAAAAAAAAAACAAGACCGAGAACCATAATTGGTTATTAAAGTTTGGTTATTAAGAAGTTGTGGAAATTTTTCTTTTTTGTTCAACTTTATTTTTGATTATTTTCAAATTTAATTTTTCTTTTTTCTTTTTACAAAATGCAGGCTTTGGGTAAAAGGATTTTTGGTTTGACACAAAATTAGTTGACATACATAGTATGTGTGTACTAACTTTTTAGGAAGTTTATGTATATTTTGTATATTAAAATTCTTTTTAGTTGTTTTAAATAACTGTTTATTTGTAGAAAAAGTTAACATTTAAACTATACATCCCATTACCCGAGGTGGAGGAGGAGAATTGTTTAAAAATGTTCTATTATTTTTGTAGCTGCCTGACTCCAATCACAGCCATTTTTTGAAAAGCTCATTTGATATACTCAAACATGAAGTTTGCTCAATGCCTAAAAATTTTTTACTTAAATTTTTATAAAAACTGCCACTATTCTTGCACCTTGGTACCACTTTTTTTGTGCGATGATTCAAATTTTTGTCCATTAAGTACGTATGCTCATAGGGGAAGGGGAGGTCTCCAAAAAGCGTCGAAAGCGTAATGGGGGGAGGGTTCAATTTAAAAATACGTACATCGATTTTCTAATTTATCACAATTAACCAGCTAATCAATAGAAAAGTTAAAATTCTGACCAAAGATCCTAGTTTTCCAACATAAAAAGATGTCAATGCACACACATGCATGGGGGCCCGCAGGATTTTTTGATGTTCCAGATGAGACACTTTTACACATTGTGCAAACTCTAAACTTAAGTATGTTTATACCTATGCCAAATGATAAGGCCTTCCAAAAAATTAAGTAGGTGGAACCTGGGAGCAAAAAAGCTCAATAACGCCCCCCCCTCCACTAAAAAAACAAAAAAACCCCAAGGGTGTAAATTTTGTATGGTCATAACTTTTGTAATTTACAATATTTTTCTACAAAATTTAAAATCTGTTGATAAATTTAAATTTAGTTTAGATGGTAAGGTTGAAACTTCACACATTTGGCATAGGCATATTTATGTTTGGAGCTTGTGCAAGCACCAAACCTAAGTATACCTATGTCAAATGTGTGAAAGAGACCTATCTAGAACATCAAAAAATCTTGTGGGCGCCCATGCACACATATCACTTCTTATATATTGTCCCTGAGTAAGGCGTATTTCAGACAACCTATTTTTTGAGTTGACAAAAAACAGGTTTTAGCAGTGCCATGGCTAATGGGTTGGAGGCCTCCCCCTTTTGAATAAAGTATCTAATATACCGTATAAAGTATCTAAGGTAACTCCTCCACATTTTTTTTCTCCATAAACCTTTTCATTGAAAAAAAAAAGTTTAGGGGCGAGGTATTTCAAAAACGTACGTACTTTTTAAGTACGTACGTTTTTAAGTACGTACGGGGGGGAACTTGGAAGTAGGTATGGCAACAGGGGGAGGGAGGGAGTCAAATTTCAAAATTTTTGGCGTACGTACTTTATGGACGACCCCTTACTGTAAATCGTAATGTATATAACAATTTAAACAACTATGTCAACTATTTAGTGTAGACTATTAACTAACAATTCATCTTTTCTCTTTATAACAATTTGATGAAAATAGTTTTTTTTTATATTAAGAACTGGTAATTAATAATTACCATTCTTAAAAACTATTAACGAAAGTGTCACTGTTGAAGATAAGACGTTTATTTAGAAGGATTTAACCTAAATCAATGTATAACCTTGAACATTTTGTTTTTTTTGTGATCTTTCTTTAAATGTGCTTTTTATAGAGTTTTGTGTATGGGATACTTTAACTAAATTTTTTAAGAGTGAACTTGATTGGGGTTTGTTATGAGATTGGGTTTTGTTAAAACGTTTAAGTTTTTCAAGTTTCAAATATTTTTGTTATTTTATAATTATCTATTCTGGCAAGCTAAATTAGATTTTAAATCAAGGATATTATTATTTAACATGTGCTTTTCAATCATTTAACTTTTTTGTTTTCACATGTCGTGACAGCAGCTTGTTCTTTATTAATTTTGACTTTTTAACTTTTATTGAATTAATAAAAAAAAGTTTTCAACTTTTACCAGAAACAAAGTAGCAAAAGAAAAGAAGAGACAAAAACTGCAAAAAAAAAAAGCCAGAAATACCCGCACATGTATCATGTAGAAGTACATTTTTTATTAGTAAACACGCAGTATTATATACTTTCAACTAACCCTATTGTCTGTTCCAACTAGCTATAATGGCGGGGTTTTTTGAACACTTTTTTGCAGCAAAATCGACAAATACATTATAAAAAACGACTAAGTTAACTAAAAGTCGATTTAGTCAAAATATGGGAATAATTTATTTTTTTGAAATAAATTGTCATAAAAATAATAAAGTAATTTATTTTCCCTTTTTATTTCTTTAACATCATATCATTTAAATGTTAATTGAGCAAAACAATATGAGAGAACGGCCGCTCCGACAACTGGACAATTCCCAAAAACAAATGATTTAAAGACTGCTTTAAGTACTTGCTATATAAAGTCTTTACAATCATATTTACAATGTGATTTGTAAAGTACATATTTTGTTTTTTTTTATGTAGTTATTAAGGTGCTCCCAAAACTCCTTACGATCTTGTTACAGAGCACCGGAAAAAGCCTAAATAATGCTAATATACTATGAATTAGATAAAACTTTATAAAAGTAACAAAAAAAAAGTAATAGTTATAATTAGAGATGTCATATTTCCTAAAATAGCCATTCACTATACACATTGCGAATGGAAAATAATAAAAACTTTTTAGCTAGTTCTGTGAAGATGATGTTTTGCTTTTTTTGACCAACACTTGGAAGGGTTTGCTGTCCAATTTAAGCAAACGGTTTCATGTAAAAACAAATATCATTCGCAATTGAAATTCTTCTTTCTCACGTCTTCATACGTGCACATTTTTTCGCAGAAATTAATTTGATTGTTTTCATTCACATTTCTTTTTCTTACGAAGTAGAGCTGAACCATCACCGGTGACTGCTAGTCACCGGTGATGGTTCATCGGTGTCTAGCAGCCTTTCAATGAGAAGGATTTATCTTATTGTTTCATTGCAACCGTATAATTGATATTCCTATTAAAGTTAAACAATTTTTTAAGTTCAGGTTGCAGTGAAGATCTATATCAACTTCTGTAATTACCTCTGAAATGCAAATACCTGGGCTGGTTATTTTTGTAATCTTTTTGAGCGGTTTAAAGAGTATGATACGTTTATAACTATAGTTAAACCACAATGATGTAACAGTCAACAAATAATGTGTGCCCAGCCAAGTCATAAATTAACAAAAACGCCCACAGCGTAGAATTTTTTGCCAGAGTATTTTTTTTGAAGCATTTGGTGTTCACATTTAAATACACCATTATGCTAAGTGTTTATTTAAGAAAATATTAATGGCTTTTATCTTTTTTAATTTAAAAGCTTTTAGTTTAAATAAAAACATGTTTTTTTGTCAAGTATAAATTACATACTAGATCATTTAAATCAGTTTTACTGAGAAGGTGAGATATGCTCATAAAAATAAGTGTCTTTAGATTT